AGAAAGAAAGAAAGAAAGAAAGAAAGAAAAAGAAAGAAAGAAAGAAAACACAGTGAGGAACACGTACTCTCCGGGCTAGGGAGGTGGTGAATGGGGTGAGGAGATGTCTTTATGTGTTGCAGGACATGAAGAATGCATCCCATTTGTATGTTTCAGATGTTGACTGTGAACTACAGTCTCAAAGACTTTTATGTCATGACCACATGTGCATATAAACACAAGCCTTCAAGGAATCATACCCATCCTTATTACTTGTGAAATTCCAATAGGATAAAGATTCTGTTCTTGGTGCTGGAGAGAGGCCTTGGTGGTTAAGAGACCTGCTTGCTCTCCCAGAGGACCTGGGCTTGGTTCCTACCGCCCTCATGGTGCTCACAATCATCTCCAACTCCAGTTTCAGAGAATTCAACACCCTCTTCTGGCCTCTGTATGACGTTTTTCATTATTTCAGATCAGCTGTATGTCTAAAACTGACTTCTTAACTCAAGTTATGTCTTGCATTTTGAAAAAAGTGCTGATTGTCATTTCTCATGGTTTTGAGGTAAAGACAATAAAGTATGCTAACATTTTTGTAAAAAGGTTTTTTTCCTTCATATTGTTTTGTTTTTAAAGAGTAAACCAAGTTAAAAATAAGCACTTGATTTTTCTGTTTTTGAATTGTGAGGTCATGTTTTGTACCTCTGTGTAAAGTGAAAATACCTGGCAGTCGGGAGCCTTGCTCTGCGGATTTCTGTTGGGGTTCAGTAGACCCTGTGTAGTGCAGGTAATCTGCGTGTGTGTCGGCTGAGTTAGTGACTTAGGGAAAAGTTGAAGTAGTTGCTTGGCTTAAATTGGTTTATGTTGGAACCATTCTTCTAAATACCTCAGAGGCAGTATGTGCCAAAGAGTTGTTTTGTTTTTAATATTGTGTGTATGTGAGTACATGATGGGGGAGGGTGTCTTATGCTATGGCAAACATGTGAGGGTTAGACAACTTTGTGGGTTCTCTTTTCTTCAACTTTATGTGGGTTCTGGCCATCAAAGTGAGGTTGTCAGGCTTACAGGGCAAGTGTCTTGACTTACCGAGCCGATTGCCAGCACTCTGCCCCTCACATTGTTTTTAATCAAAGTGTCTTTATAGGGAATTTAAATGTGGGCAAAAGAAAGAATCTAAGCTCCTCCTCGAATACTTACTGTAGACCTGCCATGCCAATCTTTTCTGGATGAATTGTGGCTCTTTGGGAAGTTGTTTGTTCCCTGGACTTTAGATGTTTTTGTTTTGTGGTTATTTATTTGCTTGTTTTTAAGACAGTGTGTGTGTTCCAGGCTGGCCTCATTCACTGTGCAGCTGACAACAGCTTTAAACTCCTGATCACCCTGCCTCTGCCTCCCACAGATGATTGTGTGTGTGTGTTGTGTGTGTGGTTCTAAGGTTCCTTTTTGTGTGTGTTGGACAAGCTCTGTATTTATGTATTTATTTATGTATTTGTATTTCTGAGACAGTTTCTAGCAATCAAGGATGACCTTGAACTCCTGATTCTTCTGCCTCTATCCCCCAAGGGTTGGGAAAACAGGTGTGTACAACTGTACCCTGCTAAGTTGTCTTTAAACAAGGGGACTAGTCCTTTTATTTTCCCTCACTTTCAACTAGGTTTTTGATGAGTTTGAAAAGCTCTCCACTTCTCAAACCTTTTGCTAATTTTAGGTGCTCGTGGGAAATTAGGTAACAGATTTGATTTGGTCATCTTTGGCAGATCTTAAGGTACTCTCCAATAGCAGGGTTTAGATAGAATTGTAGCTTAAAATGATTTTAGCACAGTTCTAGTTTAAAATGAGCCATGCGTATTTTTCCATCCTTACCCTCTGTTAGGAGAAAGACTTGAGTGCAGAGTCTAAGAGTGTGCAGTGGACACAGGACCAGCAGTCGGGCTTTCATTTTGACAGTGTGACCTTTCTTTAAGTGGTGGAATGAAGACTCTTGCTTCTTAAATCAAAACCCTAAAATCTCATTGTCCTGATTTTCCTAGACAGATGCAGGGTTAGACAGATGTTAGACAGATGCAGTGTTGCCATGAGGATTATGGGGATTAATTCTGTCGGGATCGAATTCAATATGTGGTGTGTAGAGAATGTGCAGTAAATGAAGTAGCCTTTTCCTACACTCTGGTCAACTCATTCTCTTTTTTCTCTGTTGTTCTAGAAGTCAAGAAGGAGTCCTGCCTTTGGTTACCCAACACTGGCCCCATGGCTTCCATGCAGATGGATCCTGAGTTAGCCAAGCAACTCTTCTTTGAAGGAGCCACTGTGGTCATTCTGAACATGCCCAAGGGGACAGAGTTTGGCATTGACTACAACTCCTGGGAGGTGGGGCCCAAGTTCCGGGGTGTGAAGATGATCCCTCCTGGCATCCACTTCCTCCACTACAGCTCTGTGGACAAGGCCAATCCCAGGGAGGTGGGCCCTCGGATGGGCTTCTTTCTTAGCCTGAAGCAGCGGGGGCTGACAGTCCTGCGCTGGAATGCGGTTCAGGAAGAGGTAGACTTGTCTCCAGCTCCAGAGGCTGAAGTGGAAGCTATGAGAGCCAATCTCCCTGAGCTAGACCAGTTTCTGGGACCTTACCCATATGCTACACTCAAGAAATGGATCTCACTCACCAACTTCATCAGTGAGGCCACCATGGAGAAGCTGCAGCCTGAGAGCCGGCAGATCTGCGCCTTCTCGGATGTCCTGCCTGTGCTTTCCATGAAGCACACCAAGGACAGAGTGGAGCAGAACCTACCCCTCTGTGGTACTGAGTGCAAAAGCTACCAAGAAGGCTTAGCCCGGCTGCCTGAGATGAAGCCCAGGGCTGGGACAGAGATCCGCTTCTCAGAGTTGCCCACTCAGATGTTCCCAGCAGGTGCCACACCAGCAGAGATCACCAGGCACAGCATGGACTTGAGCTATGCCCTCGAGACTGTGCTCAGCAAGCAGTTCCCTTGCAACCCCCAGGATGTACTTGGTAAGAAAGAACTGGACTTTTGGGGGAGGATGCTAGCGGGGGTATTTTAGAATAGAGGGCCCATCTTGGATTAGCTAGTTCAGAGCTCTTAAAGGAGGTAAACTCATTAGAAGTCATTAAACATATATATGTATCTTTACCCTTAGCCTAGAGATGTTAAGTCAAGAGAGTTATGTCAAGGCCCCAGCAGTTTGGCTGTCTGGCTCTCCATCTAATAATTTGAGCATCTTAGATGAGCCGGTGCACATAATCCCATGTTTGGTTATCAGTGACATAACCTAGCTCTGTAGAGAGAAGGCATGTGACCAGTGGTCACACTGAGACCAGAGCCCCATGGCTCTTGGTGCTAGGCCAATTCTGTCTATGTTCCTATAAGCCTTGTCTGACACTTCAGTTTGCTTTTGAGTTCTTAAATGTTGGTCCCTTCCCTGGCTTAGTCCAGGACTTTTATTTTTATTTTTATTGTTACCATTTTTATTGCTGCTTGCTCTCTTAATTTAAAATAATATGTATTTATCACAGAACCAAAACAAAAATAAAATTACTCCAAGTCCTATACCTAGAAATAACCATTTTCACAGTTCAGTGCATTTTTTCTTCCTTTTCTCTTTTTCCTGTGTATTTCTATATATTTCACTTGTCGCCAGGCTGTGGTGGCGCACACCTTTAATCCCAGCACTCGGGAGGCAGAGGCAGGTGGATCTTTGTGAATTCGAGGCCAGCCTGGGCTACAGAGTGAGTTCCAGGAAAGGCGCAAAAGCTACGCAGAGAAACCCTGTCTTGGGAAAAAAAAACTACAACAACACAAAAAACAAACAAACAAAAAGTATAAGTTATATTTCATTTGTCTTTTAGAGTCCAGTCTTTTAAACTTCAGTTGCATTCTAGAAGCACATGGAGTTTTTATAGAAACAAGGTTAAAGAGAAGCGTTTGTGATGTGCTGTAAGTATTTCCATGTCACAGCTCACCTCTTCAGTGTCCAGAGCTACAGAACTAGTTCTCGGTGGTCACTCCTTAAGATGCTCCTGTTCTTCTGTTATATATTTAGCCTAGTAAGCACTCTTGAGTGTGATTATGCCTGGGCTTAGGGTTGGATTGTGTGTGTTGCCAGATTTTGCCTCCTCACCAGGGGGTAGGAGTCTGTTCATCACTTTTGACAGCACTCAGCATGGTTTCTTAGTGAAGGCCTCTTCAGTTCAGTGGTTGGAAAGTGGCATCTTATTTCTGTTTCTTGAATACTAATGACAGACATTTGTCTTGCTGTTTGTGTGTGTTCATGCACATGAACACATGAAGGTCAAAGGTCAGTCCCTCGGGTTCCTTAAGCGCTGCTAACCTCTTTCTTTTGAGAAGGTTCTCTCACTGACCTAGAACTCACCGAGTAGAGTAGGCCAGAGTAGACCCCAGGCATCTGCCTGTCTCTGCCTCCCCAGTGCTGGGATGGTGAGCACTTACACCACCAGCTTCTGTGATTCGGGTTCTGGGACCTGACCCTGGTCCATGCGTTTGCAAGACGAGCACTGCATGACTGAGCATCTCCCCGGCCCTGTTACACCTCTAACGCCTGTCCTGTCTTCTGACAAACTGTCCAGGGTATTTACATACTTTCCTGTTGGTGGAGGTTGGTGGGAAGTTTGGTTAGAGACCTTTTTATATCCTTGGCTGAACTGATGATACAACGGACATTTTAATGGCTACATCTTAATGCATGGCATAGTAATATAAATGTAATTAATATAAATTTCTCTGTGTAACAGCCCTAGCTGTCCTGGAACTCGATTTGTAGACCAGGCTGGCCTCAAACTCACAGAGATCTGCCTGTCTCTGTCTTCCGAGTGCTGAGATTAAAGACATGTGCCACCACGACTGGCTGATTTATTGTTTTTATTATATATATATATATATATATATATATATATATATATATATATGCCTACCTTTGAAGGCTACCTATAAATGGCTACCTTTGAAGCCAGGGAGAATGTGTTTGGTGAGTCAATGTGAGTGTGTTCATTTATTAGAGTCAAGGTCTTGCTTTGTAACTCTGGATGGCCTGGAACTTGCAGTGTCCATGACCCCCCACCCCCACCTCCTGAGTACTGGGATTACAGATTGCACCCTTGCATCTAGCTCATTTGCCCCAGTTGCTTGCACACGGGCAGTGGCTTCTGGATTGCCAGGCCTTTGTTGGAGATGGGTACTAAGTGGAGATTTGAAAAGGAACTGGCATTTTGAGTGCTGCTTTGTGCCCCGTATTATTCTAAGTGTTTAACAGGCACTGTAGTAAATAATTTACTCTTCATTATAACTCTCAAATAAGGAAATCGAGGCATAAATAGATTACAGAACTTGCTTTAGGTCACACAGCTGCTAAATAGTAGAGCTGGGATTTGAATCCAGGCACTTTGGCTCCAAAGCCCATGTCTTAGCCACCAGGCTGCTCAGAGATAACATCAGAGCCCTGTGAGTAAATAAACAAAACTAAGCTGACTAGTAATAGGAATTTAGGAACTTCCTGCTGTGGGAGACTCTAGAAATGTTCCTACCCAGCATCAAATCTGATCTAGCTTTCCATCATTCAAAACACAGTTACACAGTCTTGGGCATGCCCTTAACCTCATCTTAAAATGAGGGAAACACTGCCTTCTCTGATGACGTGGAGGAACTGGGCTGAGGACGGAGTATGGTGTGTAATGCGGCTTTTCACCAGGCCTACAGCGGGTCATGTCACCTATATTCATGGGAGCTTAGAATATGAGCCACTAAGAGGTGACCGTTTCAGCAACATGGAAATGCTAAGAGTTGATTGTAAAATACTTGGCTTTGATCTTGTTTTTACCAATTCTGGAGTCCATTTTTCTACGTAACCAAACTCTCTGAGTTGACAAACGGGCAGCTTTACTTACTTTCTTTTTTTAAAGTTTTAGGATTTATTCTATTATTTTTAATTAGGCCTCTGTGTGTGTGTGTATGTGTGTCTTTGTGTCTATGTGTCTATGTGTCTGTGTCAGGTATTTGCATGAGTGCAGGTGTGCAGGTTGAGACCAGACAAGGTTGTCATATCTCCTGCAGCTAGAGTCACAGGTAGTTGTAAGATGCTTGTAGTGGGTGCTAGGAACTGAACTTGGGTCCTCTGGAAGAGTAACAAATACTCTTAATCCCTGAGCCACCTCTCTAGCTCTGGGCAGCTTTGCTTTCAGTGAGATCTGTTAGTAATTCTGATGGACCCTGGGTTTAGGGTCCACCTCCTAAAGTGCCAGACATGGAGTATTACGCTCTTCTTGTGACCCGTTTTTGTGTAAATGTCTAGCCACAGTTTGGTGTCCCATGGTTTGAGTTTTTAGCAGTTGAGCAATAATATTTTCTGAGTGCTTGTTGGGTGCAGAATCCCATCCTAAGTTCTGTCGGAGTGACGGGGATGCAAGGCTCCTGTTGCCAAGGTCTCATGGAAATGGTGGCATTGTAAATCCTGTGGGAGTGTCAGCTGGTGCACCTCGCTGTGAGAATCTTAGCTCTTCTTGTACCTCACAGGTGAGCTCCAGTTTGCCTTCGTGTGCTTCCTGCTGGGCAATGTGTATGAGGCGTTCGAGCACTGGAAGCGGCTCCTGAACCTCCTGTGTCGGTCAGAAGCAGCCATGGTGAAGCACCACACGCTCTACGTCAGCCTCATCTCCATCCTGTACCACCAGCTTGGTGAGATCCCTGCCGACTTCTTTGTGGACATTGTCTCCCAGGACAACTTCCTCACCAGCACCTTACAGGTGAGCAGACTGGGGCTGACACACATGTGGGTTGGTCAGCAGGAAGGCACACGTGTGGGAGCACCCTCAGGAAGGTCGCCTTTTTCTTTCTCGCTGTTTTTCCATGACCCTAATATTTCTTGAGTGTACTTTCTAACCTTGAGATGTTTCCTGGTTCTCTATCTTCTACTGTGTTGTAAGCACCTCTGTGCCAGAAATCCTCTCTCTGGCCTAGTACTGGGTACTTAGAATTAAAATCCTTCCCACCTACCTAGCTACCTAGCTCTATTACCAGGTTTTTGTTACTATAAGGAAATAACTGAGGCAGTCTGCTTTGAAATAAAGGCGTTTATTTATTAATTTATTTTTTGTTTCTTAAATTTAGTGGGTGCCATGGGTGTTTGTGGAGGTCAGAGCACAGTTTCTGGGAGTCCTGTGGGTTCTGAGGATTGAACTCAGGTCAGCATGCTTGTGCGGCAAGGGCTTTTATCCTGTAAGCCATTTTGGAGTCCCAGCAGAGGTTTGTTTAGCTCACGGTTTTGTTGGCTGGTGACTGCTGGTGACAGCCTCTGTGAGGAACTAACCAAAGAACCCCAGAGCACTACCTGGTGAACTAGGAACCTCTCACCAGGCCTCGTCTCTTAGTGTCACCAAACACGGGCAGCTCCCAAGGCATGAACCCACGGGGGAAGATACCCACAGGAAACCGGAGCACCAGCTTGAGCGGTTCTAGGGCTCCTGAAGCTGTGAGTTGCTGCAGCCTAGTAAGGCAGAGTTTGGAAGCTCGTTATTCCCAGAGAAACATCTGCAGCTCCTTAGATCTCATTTAAGCATTAAAGTAACTTTGATTTCCTGTTCAAACAAAATGTGCCAGTTTCTGCAGAGATTCTCTGACAGAAAAAGTGAAATTTGCTTTTAACTTGGCAATTAAATTTTCATTATGAGTGGTAATTAGGGAAGGAGCTTCAAACAACTTAGAATCTTCATCCTATGCTATTGCCTCCCTTGGCAAACAGATTCGTTTCTTTCCGTACTGGGACAGCCTCTGTCACTCACATTTTGTAACTTTCTCTGTGTAGCAGAGGCAGACACAGCCAGTTGTCCGTTTGCATAGCTTCTGTACCACCAATGTCTTTCTTCTCTGTGTGCGATGCCCCAGGAGGCCTGTTCCATGCAAGCTGTTCCTCACTTAGCTCTCAGCCCCACCCACAGAAGAAACTAGTATTTGTTAATGCTGTTGGGTAGCAGACACCATATTTATTGTATCATGTGATGTCTAAGTTTTTCTGTTGCTGTGATGAAATAACCTGACGAAAGCCACTTAAAGGAGAATAGTATTCTGTAGTGGTGAGCTGGTGACAGCCGCCCACATTGTATCCATAGTTCAGAAGCAGAGAGTGATGACGGCCTGTGTTTAACTCACTGGCTTCCCTTTTTATATTCCAGGATCCTAGCCTAGGGACTGGTGGGTGGATCTGTATGCCTTAGTTAATCTGATCAACCAAGTCCCCACAGGCATGCCCAGAGACCCTTCTCCTAGGTGATTCTTGATCTGTCTTAGGTTAGCAATTGAAATGAACCATCACATGTTAGCTCCCCAGAACCCTGTTGGACAGACCAAATCGTTTTTATTTTTCAAATGAAAAAAAAAATGAAAGAAGTTAAATGATTGACTTACTTTGACACTGGAAAGTGGAAGTCAGGATTTGCATAGAAGTTTGGAACCCCAAGGTATGAATATAGCATCGATTTCCCATGCCCACCCCCCACCCTCGCACCCCCAAAATCCTGTGGATGTTGTTTCTCAGAGGCAGAGAACACTTTTCCAAAACTGCCATGCTGTTGGATGAGTCTGTAATTAGGCAGCGGGCAGTTGCCTGGCGTTTGGAGGACTTGTGTGGACTGTGTGATGTGTCTGTCAAATGATGGCTTAAGCCTGGCATGTTCTACTGCAGACGAATTAAATGCCCTTTTCTGTTCGTTATGGAGCAGAGAAGTTAAATCTCTAGTCCTCCTCTGTGGGGACCCTCCTCACAAAGTCACTGGGCTGCCAGGCAGTGTGAGAGTCACAAACTGCTAACTGGCCTCCATTGGTAGCTGCAGCCATGGGGAACGATGCAGTCGAGGGGTGACGTACTGCCCTCGTGATGTGAATGGATGCCGTCCGTCACACCAGCCCAGCAAGGCCATGGTGTTGCTGGCTCGTGTTGCACCAGTGATCTCAAAATACCAGGGGCCCAGCTGGGTTGTGTGATGCCCATGTATGTGGGTTGCGCAGTGCTGATGGTGTGAGATCCCCCTGGACAAGACATTTGATGTCATTTGGTTTGTTTTTAGACAAGCTCTCTACTCCAGCTGGCTTCAAACTCCCAATGATCCAAGTGTGACCTTGAATTTCAGATCCTCCATTGTCCACCTCCCAAGTCCTAGGATTACAGGTGTGTGCCGAACACACCCAGTTTATGTGGTCCTGGGAATAAGACCCAGGGTCTCACACTGCTGCCGACCTGTACTAGCTGACGTCACTCTTTGAGACTGTTCAGGACTGACTGTTCAGGACACATGCCTTTAAAATAGTGCATCCTTGGGCTGGAGAGATGGCTCAGAGGTTAAGAGCACTGGCTGCTCTTCCAAAGGTTCTGAGTTCAATTCCCAGCAACCACATGATGGCTCATCTGTAATGAGATCTGGTGCCCTCTTCTGGCCTGAAGGGATGTGTGCAGGCAGAACATTGTATACATAATAAGTAAATAAATGAATCTTTAAAAAAAAAAATAGTGCATCCTTTACGTACATCATTCTACTTCAGTTGTTGAGGAATGAAAACAAGACTTAGCTGGAGTTCCTGTCTTCAAGGGTTCATTGATTATGAATTTACTAGCTGAGCACCTGCTGTATACAAGATTTTGTTCTAGAAATGAGATTATAGCTGAACAAGAGTGTCAGAGTCCCTGACAGCAGGAAGTAAACAGACGAATTAACTAAAGTTTCCAAATAGTGGTGTTACCTGCCCTCTTACCTTGCCCCAGCTGGGGCTCTTTGGTCTCCTCTAGCCTCCATCAGAGTTGATCAGACTCCATGCTTACCTTGTTAAACCGTCTGCTTCCCACACTGCTGCCTCTGTTGCTCCGAAGTGCGGCTCTGATCCTATTTCTCTGTGGCTCCCCTGTTTACTAGGAAAGTTAAATGTGCCACTCTTGGCCCCAAGGCTCCTTGTTACTTGGCTCTTAGCCTGTTCTCTAGCTGCTGTTTCACTATCAAGGTAGTGTCAGGGTCTGTGCACAGCAAGTTCCCAGACGGGCCATGCTGTTTTATTTTTTTTCTGAGGCTAGCTTTGAATTCCTTCCTAGGCACAAGTGGTTCTAGCAGTCCAAACAACTGGAACTATACCCATGAACACTGTGCCTAGACTTGCTTTGTTTCAGTTGTAAAAAGCACATCATTGGAGTCTGATTTCATCTCAGCACATTTGAAAATGTGCAAAGCAGTATTAACTGTAAGCATGTTTTCCAGAATGTTCTCCGGAACCTCATAATTTCATACCTTCTGGACTGATCCTGATTTTCCACAGCCTGTCATGTCCTTGGCCATTCATCACTTAGCTCTGCCTCCTCCGAATACTCTTAGCCTGTTCTGTACTTACCGCTAACTTGAAGTTAATACAGCATTCCCCAAAGAGCCATGAGCCTGCATTTTTTTCTCACTGTTTATTGTCAACACCTACCATTTGACCCGTGTTAGTGCTTGTTTTTTACGTGTAAAGCATTGATCATTCCTTTGGCAATGTAAATATAGGTATAAACAGTAAAGTCTAACAAGGGGCATTTGATACATCAAAGAAGGAATGATGGATTCTGGCTGGGGTTAATGTTTGAGGGGCTTGAGGGGTTCTGAACAGCTTTATGTGAGGGACATCGACATTTCAAAAGGCACAGTGTGGACTAGGATATTATAAAACTTTTTTTTTAATGTCTTGGCAGTGAGAATCCAATCCCCCACGCAAAGGCACTCACTTGGGGTGTGTGTGACTGAATGAATCAGACCTTAAAAGCTTCCTCAGCTTGCTGCCTGCTCTCTCCCCAGCTAGTCAGGTGGAGCTGGCTTCCTTGCTTAGGGGCATAACTGTCTGTTGTCTGTGGAGAGGGCCTGTCTTGTGTGAGCATTTAAAGACATTCAAGACAGCCATATTAGTGTGCATGAGGTCAGTCCTGTATGACCTCAGCCATTGATTTTTTTTCCTCCAAATTTCCCAAGTGAGACACTTGAATAAATGCCACTGGCTTTTACAAATCCCTTGGATTTAGCTTGAAAAAAAAAATGATTTGTTTCACAAAGTTTTTTTCTTTCATTTAAAGTAACTTAACTCACCATAATTTGCTTAAAGTCAATGAAAAGATAATCTGGAATTAATAGTGTGTTGGAAAGAGTTATGCACAAAATAAGGATTCTGACTGCCAATTGCATAGTATTTAGGCATATAGTCATATAACCATGGTGTTTGGAGATCTGGGTTTTTTTTTTATAGCTGTAGTGCATTCCAAGCAAGCTTTGTGCCTTATCACTGTTCTGGGTGTCATCTCTAACTATTATATCTGTAGTTCAGTTATGTTTTGTCTTGTTTTTGAGATGGGTGGTGTTGTATTTTAAAAACAGTGGGAAGGAGTCACACCATACAACAGGGCCCATGTAGGAGGTTTATTGAAGGGAAGGGGAGAAAGAAGGAGCGGAGAAGAGGACAGGGACCGGTCCCTGGGGACGAGGAAGGGAAAGAGAAAGGAGACAGAGGTGGGCAAGGCCGCCTTTTGTAAGGGAACATAGGGAATGCACACAGGGGGCGCTCTTAGTGGCTGCAGCCGAGGACATCCTGTCAGGACCCTAAGGGCAGGCCAGTACAGATGCCTGAATGCTAACATTCCTCCCTTTTGTTTATTATAAAAAGGAGAGGAGTTAGAAAGGGTAGCAGATGAGGCAGGGATGAGGGCTCCATGTTCTTGAGACTTCTTCTTGCTGGCCTGGGGGGG